CTGCATTTGCTGCTTAAAGTGCCTTAGATTTTGTGTTACTTATTTATCTACTTTATATTTCATTTGTATTTTGTGGCATTCATGTGGACGGCAAAGTAAGAATTTCATTGTACAGGGAAACACGTTTCCTAACTGTGCATATGACAAATAAACACTTTGACCTTGACCTTGACCTTTGTCAGTGTCTGGCCTGGTTATACAGGAACGTGTCCCCACTCTTATAGGCCTACTCTTTGGCATGACAGAGCTGCTTGAGCTTTGCTGTGAAGCAGGACTTGTTGTTATTGTATCTTCACAATGTCTTGGTGAGCACACACGTCCTCATGAAAGCTGATGTATGACATCATAGTATCAGTGAGTTCATCCAGGTCTGTAGCTGCAGCCTCAGAAACACTCCAGTCTGTACAGTCAAAGCAGGCCTTTAGCTCTGATCTGGCCTAATGCATCTCCTCACTGTTCTGGCCACAGGCTTTGCAGCTTTGAGTTTCTGTCTAAAGGCTCTGTTAGATATTAATAACTCAGTCAGATAATTATTAGACAATGTGTTGAATCAAATGTATTAGTAATGCAATTTAGTAAGAATTAAAGTCTGCTCTAGTCTGCTCTGTTTCAAGGTTGACAGAAAAGCGTACCTTCACACCAATTGTTTTCTTGTATTCATCTTGTGTTAGAATTATGTCTGAGTGAGTGTTTTAGTTATGCACCACGTGACAACACACACACATTGAAATTCTTCATTTTGTTATGACTAGTGCTTGAAGCATGTGGAGCATAAGATAAGAGATGGAGACGTCGGACTGACTCCATCTCGTGATGTTTTGCATTCTTTCTATGTAAGGGGTTAGCCCAAAACTTATAAATGTATTAGGCTCTGTGCTTCCGGGACTCTTTTTTCCCAGCAGCCTGCCTGTGGATGTCTGGAGGAAGGAGCCACCCGGGTTGTGTTTTGTAACTTTGCTTGTGACTTAAATAAATCAGTACTAAAATGAAGAAAGACGGACTCCTTCCTTATTCAGATCTGTCCAATAAAAGAACTGGGATATTACAACTCAAAGAGAGAAATTGGCCACAAAATTTAAATCTCTAGGACTGAACCAAACCCAGCAGGATGGAAACCTCAGAGTCATCTTTGACTCAAAACTGAATTTTAAGGCTCAGGTAGAGTATGTCACAATATACCTTTTGTCATCTAAAAAATATTGCTAAAGTGTGGCCATCTCTCACTCTGAGTGGCACAGAGTCTAATGCATTAGACTGTTGTAATGCACTCCTTGGTGGTCTACCTAAAAAGATTAGAAACCAGTTGCAGTTGATTCAGAACTGTGCTGCCTGAGTGCTTACACTGGTTGTCTGTCAGTTTCTGCATCGATTTTAAAACCCTTTTACTTGTTTTTAAAGCAATTCATGGTCTTGCACTGGCCTACAGCCTCTTGGGTCCTTTGATACTTTGTGTCTTTTAGTAGTTCCAAAGTGCAGGACAAAAACCTTTGGTGAGGCAGCTTTTAGTTGTTGCAACAGTGTGCTTGATGTAGTGAAAGCAGCTTGTGGTTTTGAAATGCCTGGCTTTTAACATTTTACAAGCATTTTTTCTGTTTTCTGTTCTATTCTTTCTTTTTTATTGTATTTTTGATTTAAAGTATTTTAATCCCTCTTATACAGTATGTCTGCATTGTCTTTTATCCGTTTTATCCATTTATTTTTCAATTTTCATGTTTATATATATATATACACATACATATATACATATATATATATTATATATATACATATATATATGATTTAATGCCCTTCTGTAATAAACATGACATGTTCATTAGTCTTGAATTGTTTTCAAATTGTTTCTACTGTCTACATTTCTTGTCAGCCATCTGTAAAGTACTTTGAACTGCATGAGTCTCTATGAAAGGTGCTATACAAAGTAAATTTGATTGATTTATTGACTGGTAAGTTGGAGGTGAAAGGGTTCATACACATTGCACAGGGAGCAATAGGTGAGGGGGTCAGTAGGGTCCCAACAAGAAAAATTTGCCCCAAAGCCCCAAGACAAGTTAATCCATCCGCATGTGCAAGAGTATATGACAAAAAGTGCATTTCCCATAATCAGCATTGTGAGGCCTTGATTATTTTACACTGGCTGTAATACTCTGACTACAATCAGCAGCTCTATGTCCATCAGAAATAACCCTGTATTTAACAGATTTCTGCAAAAATAAGACAGTGTACAATGGCCGTTTTTCAACATCTGACATATTTCGGTGTGAAGAAAGAATGAATGGAGGTGACTGACATACGGTAAAACACTTTTTTGGTTCTCATTTTGCAAAGTGGATGTAAATATTGGCCCAAATGTAACAGCAGGGCTTGTGAAGAGCCAAGATATTTTAATAATCTATATGAAGAATGTAATTTCCACCCACCTCATCTTTCACAAACTTTACCATTCTGCCCTATCCCTGCCTGAAGATGTTTGGTTTTCACTCTGACATAATGACACAGATATGGCAATCAGTCAAGCAAACATGGCTGGGTTACCAGTGGTAACATGGGTGGAAAAACAGGCCAGCCTTTGTTAAAAAGCTTTAGTATCACTGATGAGAGAGGCCATTGTGCTTTAGAAAAGCCTCCTTATGGTTCATGTCCTCAGATGGTAATGGATCCTCAGCCCAAGTTTAACAACTGCAACTCACTCCAGCCGGCTGTACATGAATATCAATGGCACCTGGTTACTGAAAATGAACTGACTTGTTGTCATCAGCATATCAAGTATCGAAGAAACATTCCTGAGGAAAGAAGGATAAAAGTTTGAATCATTCTACTTGTCAGCTTTTATCCAAACATTCCCACGTGCATAATGAAAACATGCTGCTTATGAAGGCCATGTGAGAATATACAACTTGACTGTTGTTAAGCAGTTCACATAATGTCCAGTTTAAACCAAGAGCAGGACTCATAACCAAGGTTTAAAATGTCAACACTCATTATAGACCAATGTTAAAATAAAATAACCACAACACAAAAAGCTGGAGTTTTCCTCTTTTTTAATCTCACAAAAATGAATTAATCTGTTCCTGAAAAGAGAAATGGAGTAATCTAGGAAACACTGCACATTTCTTACTTTACACATGTTTTTAGAACATTTGAGGGTGATTTTAGGCACTTGGAATCATAATCACATTCCCTTTCTGGACAACAAATAAATCTTTGGTCTGCTATATAATAAAAAATAACAGTAAAGCCAGAGTATGAAATGACACCAGCTTCATTGTTTGCTTCCTTATACCTTATACAAAGCTTCATAAAGACTGTTTTTTAATACTTAAATAAGATATCATTGCTACATCTCAGAAATGACCAGCAATCTTACAGATGTTTTGCAAGAAAAAAGTGAGAAATTTTAAATGTGTTGGCTCAATTAGATGTACAGCAGTACAGGATTGTTTTAGTCAAGTCACATTTGGCAAACATAGGCTTTTATTGTGTATTGTCAGTCAGCTCCCTTTGAAAGACAGAGCGATGGAAACACATCCATCTCTACGCTTCTCACAACCAGTTCAGCTACAGGGCAGCCACGTCTGATATGAATGACTGCAAGGTGAGACCTGTGGCGGCTGCACATGTGCAATATAGTAATTACTGAAATTGAGGTCCTGTACGTATGGAGCGGGCTGGTAGTAACACGTGACATTTGTGACAGTGGGGATGGCATTCTGCTCGATCAGCACCTTCAATGCCAGCATGGAGATGAGGCTGAGCGTCTGCCTCCGCTCGTGGCCCATCAGACACACGGTGCTCTCATTCACTACCTGGTGCAGAGTCGTCAAGCACTCGTACCGTTTGTGCTCCATCCCAGCAAAGTGGTTCTGCAGGTAGGCCTCCAGCTTCCTCTGCTGCTCGCCTATGTCAGGGAAGTCAATGAAGAAGCGGGAGCACATGTAACGCTGCATCTGCTTCATATCCGCCTCTGAAGAGGGTCTGAACCCTCGCACCAGCAGGTGGCAGTACTTCAACAAGCCACCACCTCTGATCTCTTCAGGGCTGCGTGTAGCTATTATCCTCTGACACAGGTGATCCATGGCCTCCTTGAAGTCCCCGTATACACTCTCCCCAATCACAGTGGGATGAAAGCTCTCAGACATGGGTGTCTCTGAGCAGCGGTCAAATAGGAGCAGAGAATCAAGGCAAATCTGGAAAGAGTCCACACTGAATTCAAACTGCCGCCTTAAAGAGTCCACAAATTTTAGCTCCACATTTTTGCCCATGTTGTTGGACAGCGAGATGAGGCTCCAGCGGTCTGTGTCATTACAGACTTTGACCAGTTTCTGTACATAGGCCTCTTTGAGGGTCAGGGCTGTGATGCGCTCTTTAGAGACCCCAGCTGGCAGGAAGTCCAACAGGCAGTCCAGCACGACATCCTTCACCAGACGGAAAGCCTGGTCATCCTTAAGTGACACCCCAAAGATCAGGTCAAGGTCTTTGTAGCCCAGTCCAGTGTCCTGAAGGAGCACGTGGCTGGCAGCAGATCCATTCAACCTCACATCTTTAACACACACACCTCTCTCCTCCAGCCTCATCCGCACCACCTGGACAGGGATGAGACAGGGATACAGAAAGTCATTATTAATCATATATATGGGAATTAGTGTGAAAATGCAGAAATCCACAGAATTCTAAAGTCTACCCATAACCTTAAAGTTGCACTAATGATGAAATTAGTCTAAAACATGAAAAGGCTAAAGTTAAACTCTTGAAATGTGTCCAAATAGGTTCCACATGGACCTAGTGGAAATCGATATCCTGTGAAGGCGAGATCAATACAGCTGCTCACAAAAGTCCATTTCATCATCAGCAGCCTCAGTTGGAAACAGACTACTGATCCCAAACAAAGAGCAGCAGCACAGTTGATGGGTCTGTGCTTCTGGTTCATCTCCCTCTGGGTCAGGTTGTCTTATCTTATCACAGGCACAGTGATAGGATTTATAATCCTGAACTGCAACTGGGAGCGTGAACACCAGCGTGCAAGGGCAGCAGCATGCAGCAAAAAATTCCATGCTTAGGCCAAATGTCACAGCCTCAGGTCGTTAAGGGTCAACAGACTTTCCCTTCCTCTGTCCCAGTGACCTATGCAATGTTTAAACAAAGGCGTCCTGCCTCAGTGCAACCATATTTGAAGAGGATCATTTACAGCTGAACAGCTACAGCGGAAAATATAAAGGGATCCTGAAAGAAGACATCAGCTTACTTGCCTGGAGGGAAATAACAATCTGCTTGTGTGATTAAAACACTCTTCTCATAACAAAGATGATGAAGACATAGCTCTATATAGCCTGACATCATCTAGCTGAAGCTTCCTTCTTATATCTGGCAGCTATAGACATTTGTCATCATAATTTGGTGTATACACAGCAAGTGAACTCAATACTAAAGTTAATACATGTAAGAAAACTGTAATAAAAGCAAACTGACTGAATCTGCATGTAATCGACATTCTACGAGCATTTCTACTGAACAAATAACAATTGCAGGTAATTCAAACAGTTAAAGCTGCAGTGCAAATTTACTGTTACGCACTCACAATCCTAAATCTCCCCACTGGCTCTAACCTGTCAGATTAATGTCTGTTAACTGTCTCTCCCATGGTGATCAGATAACAAGCTGGCTCTATTTATACATACTGGGTCAGGCTACACACAAACCAATGTCTGAAGGCAAGTCAACCTCTCACACATGGGAGGGGAGGAGGGACAAAGTCATAATAACTTGGCAGTAACAGCACTGTAATCATTCAGCCAAGTGGTCCTATTGGGTTCGAATTCCAATCAGAAGCAATAATAGCCGGTGTTTTGTGCTTCAGTGGCTGTCTTGATATGTCAGAGCAGCCCAAATGAAATTTTGTGTCAGGCCTACAGTTAACACCTTGTCTCCCTCTGGCCTCTGACATTGCACAGCTGCAGACAGGAGAGAGGGTTATTACCAGAGCCTAGAAGATTATCGGTTGCCCCCTACCATCTCTGGAAGAACTGTACAGTTCCCGTTGCTTGAAAAAAGCACAAAACATTCTGCAGGACCCATCACACCCTGAACACTGTCTGTTTGAATTGCTGCCTTCGGGGAGAAGATACAGAACAATTATAGCAAGGACAAACAGATTAAGAAACAGTTTTTATCCGAGAGCTATTGTTGCATTAAATGCTGCTAAAACCTTAAAATTTGAATGATTGATGGGATTTAATGGGAACTGTGCAATAGTCAGATGTGTATGGATGCGAGTGTGTAAATTTGTTGGGTTTTATTGTTTATGATTATTTTTTATCATCGAAGGATTGCATTTTTTAATTTCGTTGTACAATGTACAATGACAATAAAGTTAAAGTTAAAGTTAAAGTTCAGGTGACTAAACTCTCAAACATCTGGAAGCACAGGCTGGCTTTACATCAAATCGTGCCAGAAGCACAACTCCTGACTAATCAAGTGAATTTCACTTTGTTTTTAGAAAAGAAAAAAAGAATAAAGGCGAGTAAAAAAAAGGAGTGATATCTGGTTCACAGGTCTGAGTCTTTGTTAGAGCTACAGTTAGACTCTAGCTCTGTAACTCATTGGATTCTATCTCTTCATGATGCTGTAATGGATGTTAGTGGTCTGTTTATCCTTCTAACCCTGCAGCAGGTCCACTCTTACTCTTATCTCCTGTGATGCATAACAGAAGAGGCACAATTACACTGTGAAAACCAATCAAAAATGCATTACAGCTACACTAAAGGGCCTCGTTTCATTGTCATGACAGGAGATTCACTGCAATCAATGTTCAGCTAACTACTAAGCAAATCCATGTGACAGATGACCAATTTTTTTTTAATAAACTAAAAGTATGGGGTTTCCACAAATCCAGGGGAAACAGAGTCCCTACATTTTGTGCTCAAAACTGTATCCAAGCCTCCTGCAGGCTCAGAGGGCCATTTCATACAGCCAACTATAGAGACGCCACAAGGAAAGTGAAATGTGATGTGCAAGAGGCAGGAAATGTGGAGGGCCTTTGGCATACATCTGCTTAATACATTTTAAAGTCATAATGGGGGAGTTGTAATGGCTGTACACTGCATTCCTCACTGCATATTCTCCCAATCTGTTGTCTGAGTGTGAAAATGATGGACACCAAGACAAATCTACTGGACGATGCTCTTTGATTTTAATTATGCCATCTGCTGGATGCAATCAAATAACAAATACTTTCATGC